CCTCGGTCTCGGGCTGTCGGTACTCAGTTGTTGGTCAGTTTCAGCAGCGGCTGACTTGGGGACGCCTGGGCTATCCCGCTGCGGGCGTCCTCCAAGGCTTTGCTCCGCGTCTCCCTGGTCTGACCAGCAGACCAAGGAGACGGGGAGCAGCTTTTCTCACCCCGGAGAACGTGGGCGGCGGCACCGCGGCTCATCTGGGCGTCCCGCCGCTCCCGTCCTCCGGGGTGAGAAAAGCCCCGTTCGTAACTGCGGATCTGACGTAAGTCGGATCCACGTAACTCGGGGACTGTCTGTACGTTCACTGTGGAGTTATTCTGGAAGTAAAAGGGTCCCTGTGTCTCAAAGAGAAATTACTATATTTTTTTGTGTTTCCTATCACTCATTCAGAACTAGCGCTTTCACTCCTGTCTCCAGCTTGGTTTTCTGATATCCCAGAGCACTAACATAACAGCTGTTGCATTCAAGGTGTGTGTGAGGGAAGGGAGTGGAGGTAGGGTTGCCAGGTGTCCAGTTTTTAACCGAACAGTCGAGTATTTGAGCTGTTTGGGAGAAAAAATTGAGAAACTATAATTGAGTAAATAGAACTGTCCAGTATTTTCTCAATCAGATGTAATGTAGATTGTGATGTAATGTCAAGTGTGTCCAGTATTTTTGTTGAAACCATCTGGCAACCCTAAGTGGAGGAAAGAAAGCATTGGCGAGAGACCTGGGAAAGGGGAAGGAGACAATTAAGGTTACTGTATATTTCTTGTGACTGTAGCCAAGGCTTAGGAACCAGTTCTTAGTAGAACTGCTGATTTATTTTTATCATGTTGGATGATGTAATTTCAGAGCTAGTTTTCATTTAACCCAAATACAAGATTGTGTACAATGCAGAATCTGATCTGAAAATCAGTTTTTGCAAATAAGTTGTTCAGGGTCTTGTGGGAGGAAAAAATCCTATTTTAGGGTATGTTTTTTTTAATCCCAGATAATCAAGTTATATTTACTACCTTTGAGGAAAAATTAGATAATTCGGGGGCATTTTTCTTCAATCTGGACTGGGAAAAGCAATTGGATCAGGTTGGAAAGCATTTGTTGTGTTTACGTAACACACAATGCCACTGAAATCACATGCACACAATGAACACAGAAGGCGTCCTGTTATTTAGCAACCATCAGTCAGTCAGCATCCTGTAGTTCAGCCACAGGCTGGAATTTCACTGACTGTCATCCCACTTTTCCTGTTGAAGGCTTTTGATGCCACACAAGAATCAGATCCCACTTTAGGCTGACCCAGTTTTATGTAAGACCTGCAGTCTCAGATAGAAATCCACTTATCAAGTGAGGCAAATGCCACAGCAACAATTTCCAGACAGACAATACTTCACAGCTTGTTAGAAGCAAAATAACTCTGAGGGGGCCACACCAGGGTCCCTTTCCACTACTTCCACTGTCGTCAAAGTGGAATATCGGAGCCTTAAGCGGAGTCAAAGGTTGTCCTAGATTTTTTTGGCACACAGACACACAAAGCCTCCTGGTCTGCTGCTGCCACATGAGGATTTAAGCTATGTTTACTCACTGTTCATCAGCTGGTAGTTCACAAGTATTTCTCCTCTGCCAGCTTTGTGAAAGGAGAATGTATGAAAATCTAGATTACTGGAGAGCAGGGTGAAGTGAATACATTAGTTAGCTGATTGATAGAGCCTTGATCTCCAAAAACACCTGCCTGTGCTGAGCCACCACAGAAGGGGGCTGTTCTGGCTACTTTGGCTGAAGCACCCTCATCTATGGTGGGCCCTGCAAGGCTTGGACAGGTCCCTGCCTGCAGCAGGCTGCTCCAGCCCCTTTCGGTTAACTGGTTAGCCATTCACATCCCTAATGCTTAATCCATTAGACTTCACTTCTATACTTCTATTTGTAAATATTGCAACAGTTCGATCCATGGTCAGTCTATGTACTTCAATATTTTTTGACAGTAGCTCTTGTCCATATTCAGTCATTCCTTGAACTAGTATTACTATGTAACTCGTTTTCTTAAATCTGTAAGTTAGAATGCTTCATGGAAGAATACAAATAAATATATGAATGTAGTCTGTAACTTCAGAATATTCCATGGGCATTGTACTTCCTTATGCCCTGGCTGTAGAGAGAGGCATGCAGGATCCTTTTTACTGACAGCATTGGATATTCATATTAATGTTGTGCAGTATATCCAGCTGCAGTGGTTGCAGAATTTAGCTGAAAATGTCAGAAATCAGAGCAATGTGAATTTAGTACTGTCCTTTTAAACCCATGAGGTTCAAATCCTGTGCCAGTTCTGACTTAAATAGTTCAATCTGACCTAAATTAAATACCTTTCTAATGAGACTATCTCTGAAGAATGTATTCTAGATCCTCCACAGTTCTAAACTTGTTTTATTGTATTTCTTTATAGAGTGCTAATCACCATAGTATCTAGGCACCATCCCCATCCACCTTCAGCATGGTGAGCTGAGCTGGTGCACTTTTGCTTGGCTTAAAACATTCTGGGGGCAAGTAGGGCACCTTATATGAAAGGTCCTTGTCTCTCAGAATCTCTTCTCCTTCTTGTTCCGAAGAGCTGGAGTTTGTATCCACATCTGCATCTGTATCTGCAAAAATGAGCCATGGATATTCACATCCACATCCATGGATGTAGATACCTGTGGACATAAAACAGATATCCACAAATGTACAGTGCTCTAATAACACTTGTTTGCAATGACTCTGGATTGCAATATAGAGTTGAGTTGGCTGATAGCAGATAATTTTTATACTTTTAATAGTTTAGCTATAGTGCAGGCACCCACAAACACTAGGAAGGGAAATTATTAATATTGAAAATTCAGGGGAAAGAAAACACTCAAAGTACTAAAAGCAACATTGGTTTGGTAAGTCTGTTTCTTGTTACTCCTTTTTATATTTAGCTGAAATATCTTCAGGGATTGGGTAAAGATTTCTTGAGATTCTCTGTCCTTAAAGAAGAATACACGAGTCCCAATTTATTGTGTAATGTTGGTCTATATTCACTTCCTCCAGTACAATCTATCTGTGGGCCCTGCAGTTTGACAAGAAGAAAGAGAACTCTGTAGTGAACAAATCCAGGGTTGATTATTCAGACCTTAAATTCCCTGGCTGTGTAGCTCACAGGCTAACCTAGTACTCATATGCATTGTTCACCTGATCTAAGCAGTCAAACTACCGTTCCAGACCCTTGGTGGCATTAAATTATTGGAATAGAGATAAAGCAACATAAGCTATCACTTTCTTTGCCCCTCCAAAAAGTTCAGAATTGGGTGCTACAATCTCTATAGTTGGTGGAGGTACTGTAACCACCACCACGCAGAGTTGAACCTGGGACCCTGGAGCTTAGTATCGGAGCCTTTCTACAGCTTGAGCTAAAAGCCAGCTGTCTCTTAGCTTAGGCTGTAGAGCTCCCTTGTGCTTATCTCTCACTGTAAGTGGTCTAAGTGCTACTACTTGGGACAGTGAACTAGGGATGTTAAAATTAGATTAATCAGCTAATCAAAAAGTTGATGGAATTTCCATCAACTATTCAATTAGATGCTTCAGCTTTGATATGTAGCAAGAACCAGCCCAGCTTTTGCTACATTTCAAAGGCAGAAGTGCCACACAGCGTTCCGCCTTAGAAATGGACAAGAGCTCCAGCAAAGACTCTTGTACATTTCAAAGGTGGAACACCATTGCTGCACTCCTGCCCTCTCCCACGGAGCTGGGGGGAACCAGCTTTTAAGACAGCTCCCCCCAGCAACCGCTTCACTTCCACCACCCTTGTTGCCTCTTTCTGGGGAGGGGGAAAATGACTAGTCGACTAGAGTGTCGCCTATCTGATAAGCTTTTGCTTACACCCCTATGGTGAACCACACTAGGCATGTGGGTTACACTACCTTAGGAAGGAGCAGGGTCAGGACAGCCAAGAGGCATCTGCATGTGGAATGGAAAGTAAATTCTATTTATCTGTGAGCACAAAAGCCCAATAAAGAAATCCTACTTCTCTAACTTGAAGTAATCTCTCTTTTTAGCTCTGATGGAAGTTTGCATGTCAGCACCAGCGAATCTAATAACTTGGGTCCCTCTGTTTTCATGTGTCTAATATCTGGCATTTCTGCCAACAGGTCACAATATAATTTCAAACTAAAGAGCCAAGTGCGTCTCTGTGAAATGTGGACAGCATCCTGCATGGAAGAGGTCTATGAGGGCAGCATTAACCCAGAAAGGTCCTTCGTTATAGGCTGGCCTACCACCAACTGCGTTGTTAATTTTAGGTAGGAATGGAAAGGTGTATTTGCTGCTTTATTAAATTTCTGTAGATTACTAATGTCATAAAAATATTACAAATGAGGTATAGTCTGCACACGTTAATGCTGGAAGCCAAAATCTCTATGGCACTGACACAGATTCCTTCTGTTGCATTGAGACAAGTCAGCTATCATCTTTGCTTCAGTTTCCCAATCTCAAAAAGAGTGGGAATGGTACTTACCTAGTTCCTATGGGTACTGAGAAAACCGAAGATTTGGCAAAGTGCTATATGACTTGTGCTGTGTACATGCTTGGTGTTAATTGTCTGTTTTAAAAATATATTTCTGTAAATACCTTGGTTACTTAGTAGGAATAACTGCAGAACAGATACAGCTGGGCTCATAGTCAGCCCTTTCCAGGTGTCAGAGTCTACCATACAGAGCTTGTGAAGGAGTGGAGTTTGCACTTAATACAAGCAAGAATCAATAAAATGTTGACTCCTTTTTTTTCCTATTTCAAGTGTTCCAGAAAAAATAAGTTCAAAATTTCTCCTAAACCAGAAACTTTGAAACCTCGTGAAACCAGGTTTACCTGCGCCGATCGACAAAGGCTTCCTTGTTGACAGCGGCGCGTCCAGACTGTCCCGATCTGCCAACAAACAGCTGATCAGCAGAGCGGGGCAGCCATTTAAATTTAAATGAAGCCGCGATTATTTAAATCGCGGCTTCATTTCCCTCTGCCAATCTGTCTAATCTACATGCCTCCATCGACGGAGGCATGTAGTCTAGACACACCCTGTAGTACTGACTTTTTTTTTTTTTTTAAGAGACTAGGTCTGAAACAAAGCTGAAATTCCTATTTTAATTAAACTCTTGCCAATAAAATTTAGCTTTGATTTAGGGACAGTAGCCTATTCTTTAAAGCTGGAAGGAAATAGTCTGATGTGAAAGTAACAGACTAGTCAAAAGGGAACCCTAGATTGTATGTAAGTAAAGTGATTTCATATCCAGAGATAAATAGGAGTTCTGAAGAGATAAGTGAGAATCTGCTAAGCAATTACATAAAAAATAAAGTTCAAACGTGTATGTTTTTGCAGGAGGAAAACTGACCAAGGTTTATAGTTCCCTAAATATCTGGCCTGAAAATTTGGAGAATTGATTTCCAGAAGCATCAGTGGGAGAAAATCTTTTCTTCATCTAGGGTAGGATTTGGATCAAGAAAGTTAGGCTCCTTATTACTATAGTTACCCCACTAAATGAACAATTATACATATATCTGGATAGCTTAGTACCTTTCAAAGTCTATGGGTAAGATAAAATTTTTAAAAAATCATATGTAAAATGGGTCCTCAGTCCTCACTGGGGCCTTTTAAGTACTAGTCTATTATAATGAGTAATAAGAAAAAGCAACAGAATGGGAGGAGCTTCGCCAGCCTTTATTATACCAGTGATATCCTTAAACTTAGATTAGATTTTTGTTTACGTTTTAACAGCCTATATTTTAGCATTCTAATCCTGTTCCCATTGACTTTGTTGACAGAATTTTAACTTCTATAGTGAAAAATTGAACACTAGGACTTCACCCCAATATAGATAATTTTTATTTCAATTGTAGGGAAGCAGTTTTTCACTGAAAATTAAAAATCCTGTGAATAGTTGTCAAGGGCTCCCTTGAGCCAGTAGCCTCATGGAGTAGGCTCACTTCAAGTTTACAGAAAACAAATTAACACTGAACTCAAAATAGCTACCTGGGCATTAAAGCTTATTATTTGTTGTGGATTTTCACAGAAACCCAGGGCAAATGCTGTCAAGGTTAAACCCCTTACTGCTTACTTAAGGCCAAGAGAGAGTGAGCTTTTCCTGTCTTGATTTCACCCAGAACTGGTTCCTAGTAGCAGTAACCAGCCCTTTTAAATCTGTCTGCTTGGCCCTGATTAGCCTCTTCTTTCTCCTGGCCCTTCTAGGCATTAGAGGACCACCTCTCTCTGGTTCTCTCTAGGCAACCCTTGAGCCTCTGAACTCAATGCTCTCCTCTTCCAGCAGAACAGGGAGTGCCAAGACAGTGAGGCTGGCTCTAGGGGTCAGTAAGTGCTTGGTACAGTCTGTCACAACAAATCTTAACATTACCATGTGTTCATGGATATGCCAGTCAACATATATGCTCTTCTGATTGGTTTTATTGTGGCACTTGCATGCTGTCTGACTTCTTCTATATTTGTCACTGTTTTATAATCCTTGCAGTTCTCCAGAGCAAAAGGAGAAGTGGCTCTCTTCCCTGCAAAGGTACTTTATTTTGATTCTGTTAACAATACTCAGAGAAGGGGTGGAAGAGACTCATTCAGGCATCTAAACTGTCTATTGCTAATGCCTCCTCCCTTCCCCTGCGCTGCTGCTTCTGCTTCTGTTCCACCACCTATCAACTTCATTCATGCAAAAGTATAGTAGTATATTGGAAACCATGGTAGGTTTATAGCCAATGATAACCTTGCTATCATATCGTTCTTTACACAGCTATTACTTGGGTACAACATAAAAATATTACCAGTTTTGTTAACAATGAAAATCGGTGATCTTTGCTTGTTTTGTTAGTCGAATCAAAGAAGAGAAAGAAAAAGACTATCCCAAGAGCATTCCACTGAAGATCATTGCAAAGGATATAGGAAATTGTGCATATGTAAGTATTTCTGAGCAAAAAAGGGAACTAAAGCTTAATCACAAAAGGCCTGAGTGGTACTAAACACCAATAATTCCCAGTGAGTTCAGTGGGAGCTTTAGGGCCCCACCACCTCTCAGGATGCAGCCCACTCTAAAGGATTGGGCCATGGTGAATAATGAACCGAACATGAGCTCTCAGGATGACTCCAAAAGGAGTAATGCAATCCTGGGATGAATATACTGGGGAATCTCAAGTAGGAGTAGGGAGGTTATTTTACCTTTGTATTTGGCCCAGGTGCATCTGTGTCTGGAATTCTATGTCCAGTTCTTGTGTTATGTGAAGAAGTAAAACAACACTTCCTTACTCACGTTCTCCACATTACTCAAGATTTAATAGACTTCTGTCATATCTTCTCTTATGGTATGTCTACACTTGCTCCCTAGTTCGAACTAGGGATGCGAATGTAGCTGACCGAAATTGCTAATAAAGCGGGGATTTAAATATCCCACACTTCATTAGCATAATCTCGCCCACGCGCTATTCCACTCGCCAGCTGATTCGAATCAGGAAGTGCGCTCTGGGACACGTTAGTTCAAATCAAACCCCTTGGTCTGAATTAATGTTACTCCTCGAAAAATGAGGAGTAACGTTAGTTTGAACCAAGGGGTTTGATTCGAACTAACGTGTCCCGGAGCGCACTTCCTGGTTCGAATCAGCTGGCAAGCATAATAACGTGTGGGCGAGATTGTTAATGAAGCGCAGGATATTTAAATCCCCGCTTCATTAGCAATTTCAGTCAGCTACATTTGCATCCCTAGTTCGAACTAGGGAGCAAGTGTAGATGTACTGGTAGTCATGCCTTTTCCAAGCTGAAAATTCCCAGTATTTTTAATCTCTTCTCCTACAGTAACTGTTCCATATCCCTAATTATTTTTCTGCACCTTTTCCTATTCTAATGCATCTTTTTTTAAATGGGGTGACCAGACCTGTATACAGTATAGGAAACCCTTTCCATTTGCGGTAGATGTATTCCCACATCCATTGTAAATGGCGAAATTTGCAGATACTGGGAGCCGTAGTTCCCTGAACTCACTGTGGGGGCCAGAAGCCACAGGGAACTCACTGCAGCTACTGGGAGCCCACGGGGAAGTCACCATGGCTCCTGGCAGTTGCAGGGAATTTACTGTGGGGGCTGGGAGCAGTGGTGAGTTCCCATTGGTTCCTAGCTCCTGTGTCTCTCTTCCAGGAGGGGAGACCCACAAATATGTGGAACCACAAATAGTGATTCTGTGAATAGTAAAGATCTCCTATAGTCAAGATGTGGATATACCATTAATTTCTATGGGGGCATTATGATATTTTTGTCTTCTTTATCTGTCCTTTTCCTAATGGTTCCTAACATTCTGTTAGCTCTTTGGACTTCAACTGCACATTGAGTGGATGTTTTCAGAGAACAATCCATAATAACGCCAAGATCTCACTCTTGTCGGTAACAGCTAATTTAGACCACATCAGTGTATATATATAAAATTGGAATTATGTTTTCCAGTCTAATGCACGTTGCTTTGCATTTATTATAATTTTATGAAAAATGTGCCTCAAGGAAACGCAAAGAGCTCAGTCTATTTAGCTTAAAATATAAAAGGTGAGTGGTGACTTGATACATAGGGAACAAATATTTAACAGGGTCTCCAGTCTAGCAGTGAAAGATTTAATGTGCTCTAATGGTTGGAAGCTGAAGCTAAAGAAATTCAGACTGAAAATAGGGTGTACATTTGTATCAGGGAGGTCAGTTAATCATTGGAACAGTTTGCCAAGAGTTGTGGTGAATTTTCTTCATAAGTTCTAAAATTTTAAATCAAAACTAGATATTTTTTGAAAGATTCACGCTAGTAATTATTTTGGGGAAGTTCTGTGTTATACATGAGGTCAGACTGGATCTGGGGTGCACAAATGCTGGTCTGCAGGGTTAATCTCTAATGGGCCTTCCCCTTTGTTTACCAGTACCTCTGCAGGTATTGCACGATTGCAGCTGTTGTTGGCTGCAAACAGTTATCCACGGCCAACGAAAACTGTGATCATGTGATACCTGCAAAGGCGCTGGTAAACATAGCAGCAGCAGCAGCTCACCAGGGAATAACCCTGGCAGGATGCTGGGATTTTTATTACCTACCGCTGGTAATCACTTTGATCCTTTCTGGTCCTAAAATCTATGAGTCTGTGAAATGTTTCCTCTCTATTCAGTACATGGGATCATGTTTTAAAAATACTGTTTTAGAGCAGCAACACTTTCATGGTTCAGAAACACACCTCTATAGATAGAAAGCAAAGCTGGGGAGTCCATAATTCGGAGAGATCTTTCTGAAGTAGTTTACACTTAGGCCTCTTGAGAGAGATTTGTATGACATGCAGGAGTGGTTCGAGGCGGGCTGCGGCAGCTGGCGCCCCAGGCAGAACGCGCGATTGGCCCCCCGCCTGCATGGCCGTCAATGGGTTGACGTCATCATCGGCCTATAGCCACGGGCCGCCCCTGATGACATGACCTGGTTTTATTCTCAGGCCAGATCTACATACAGAGTGGCACTTTCTCAACTACAAGGTGATTTTTGTACTGATTTAATTAAAACTGTGTAATTTGTGGTGTGGATACTGCTAAGTCAATTTAAATCTGGCTTGTATCACCTTAACCATGAATCGATGTTCACATCACACTCCCTGCAGGTACCCGTCCCAAGCTAATGAGCCAACCCAGAGACCAAATTTGTTGATGAATCCTGAGCACGTGCCACTTGAGGTACATTGCACATGTGCTAAGATGACCTGTATCAATACATTTTCTGAAAAAGAAACTAATCTGATAAAACACTTTTTAAACCAATATAAGAATGTCAACATAGGGAGGTGGCAACATTTTAATTCAGTTGTTAAACCAAGTTAAGTTGAACTAGTGCTGTTTCAGTATGTAGATAAGTCCTCCAAGAAACACTAGCATCCATAAATCATCCATCCATCTCTTCTCCCCTCTACCTGCTGCTTTAAAAATCTGCATTATGTTCAAGAGCCTAAAAAGAAGTTGCTGAGAATATACTATATCTGAGTAATTCCAAACATGAAGTATTCCTCCTTTCACAGGGAATCACTGAAAGGACAACAGCTAGCGTTACTAGATCCCTCAAAGCACTGTGAATAAACAGTGTCAGTTTGGGTGGAGGGAAGTGAGCCAACCTGTGCTTAGCTGTTTCTGAAAATGGATCTGAAAATCTTTTGTGTGCATTCAGAGTGGGGCAGTAGCTTAAAACCTTTCTAGCTAAAATTAGTTCATGAGCCAAAGTTGGTCACCTGAGACTGATACTCCTGGAAATGAAATACGTGTTCTCTAGATCAGGAGTTCTTAAACATCACTGCACCATGACCCCCTTCTGACAACAAATATTACTATACTACCCCAGGATGGGGGACCAATGCCGGCGACCCACTGCTTTGGGTGGAGTAGGGGTGGAGGCAAAGCTCAAGCCCCAGGCAGGGGACCTATAACCTGAGCCCCACTCCATCTAGGGCTAAATACTTGAGCTTTGGTTTCAGCTGTAGGCCATGGGGCTCAGGCTTCAGCCCTGGCCCCAGCAAGTCTAAGCCAGTCTTAGTAACCCCATTAAAATGGGGTTACAACCCACTTTGGGATCCTGACCCACAGTTTAAGATCCGCTGGTCTAGATATTTTCAAAAGTTTCAGAGGGGTAGCCAAGTTAGTCTGTAACAGGAAAAACTTAAAAAACAACAAATAGTCTGGTAGCACTTTAAGACTAACAAAACATGTAGATGGTATCATCAGCTTTTGTGGGCACAGCCCACTTCTTCAGATGACCGGAGTGTTGCAAGTCCAAATCCAAGAAACCAAGTCTTGGTTCTGGACTTCCAACACCTTGGTCATCTGAAGAAGTGGGCTGTGCCCATGAAAGCTCATGATACCATCTACGTGTTTAGTCAGTCTTTAAAATGCTACCAGACTATTTTTAGATGTTTTCAGTGATGAAGCAGATGGAAGCTACATATTCTAAATATTTCTTATGATGCTACAGTCATGTGTACTATAGCAGCAGGGGATCCTAGGGAATTGTTTCATTTTGGGGGAGGAAGGACAGCAGCACAAAACATTTTATTATATTCTAGCCAAGGGCAAAACTTATGCAAATGTGTTGACCTACTCCCAAGTGCCAGATGCTGTTGCTTTGGGGAAATGTTAAGTTATTTTATGATATGAGCATTCTGATATGTCCTGAAGCAAATATACAACATTCTCTCTACTTCACTCTGATTGCCATGGCAGTTTGTTACTATCCAGGATTGATACAGAGGAATGTTCCAGATTTTTTGCTACATGTAAAATGTTGTGTATTACCTGGAAATGTTGTGGCCAGTTTAAGCCGATGTGTTGTTTGTGTTCACAAGACCTAGCAAACTGATTCTTGGCTTGGAGCCAAGAGTTCAAATCCCAGGTTGCATACCTATTCCTGCTATGATACTGGACCTCTGTGTCTCTTCCCCCTTCCATGTGTAAAGTGGGGTCAGTAACATTTATCTACCTTGCAGTAGTTCATGCTCAAACAGCATTTTGGAAATATCCACTCAGTGTGCATTAACGGTCAAAAAAATGAACAGAATGTTGAGCCTCATTGAGATACGTAAGACAAAATGTCCTATTGCCTCTCTATACATTCATGGTACATCCACATCTTGGGTAGTGCGTGCAGATGTGGTTGCCCCATCTCAAAAAAGATGCATTGGAATTCAAAAAAGTTTAGAAAAGGACAACAAGAATGATTAGGGGTATGGAATAGCTTCTGTATGAAGAGAGATTAATAAAACTGTCCTTAGAAAAGAGATGACGGGGAGGATATGGCTGAGGGTCTGTAAAATCATGACTAGTATCTAGTAAATAGATAAGAAAGTGTTATTTACTCATAACACAAGATATAGGGGGTCACAAAATGAAATTATTAGGCAGCATGTTAAAACAAACAAAAGGGAAGTATTTCTTTTCACAACACACTGTGAACTTGTGGGTCTGTTTGCCAGAGAACCTTGAGAAAGCCAAGACTGCAAGAAGGTTAAAAAAGAACTAGATAAATTCATGAAGGATAGGTACATTTCTTAGTGACTGATTCAACTGTATGTTTTAATGCAATGGGTCTCCACCATGAAATCACATCCACTCCCCTTCCCATAAGTGTTTGAAAAGTGGGGCAGGGTCCACGTATTGACAAGCCTGAGAGCATGTTCTGAAGCACAAAAAGCACATACTGTTTATTAGCTAAGATCTTATCACTGTGTTTTGCACAGATGTTTTTTTCAGTACTGTAATGCACCAGCTATTCTCATGCAAAGTCATGGGAAGGCTATACTTTGCAAACCTTGTGGTCTAGAATGCCAATTTTCCCTTCCCCTTTTTTCCCTCCACAGTCGAAAATGCTCACTGTAACCAATGCTGATACAGCGAATGACATAATTCTCACAGCCTTGCAGCAGCTGGGGATTAACGTAAGTCATTGCAATCAGATTTGATTACTCCTTTATTTGTTTGTTTATTTAAAAATCTATCTTTCTTTCCCCAAATTGAAGACAGTGACATGAATTACATCTGTTATCATAAAAGCTCAGTGATTCATAACTGGTATGAAGGCACATATTAGTATAAAGGCTTTCATCTGCAGATCATCAAATGCATTACAAGTATTGACAGAGGCTCACAACACTCCTCTGAGATACACACAGCATTTGAGTTTGCTATTAAATTTATTTTGTAGATGGGTGAATTGAGACAAGCACAAGTTAAGTGCTCCAGACAACTCCTGTTCAAGACTGAAATTTACCTGGGGAGCCAACTCTGGCTGTATTGGCCTGATTTGTTTTCAAAGTTAGATATGCACAATTATATCTGCAAATTCCTATGAAATGTCATTGTTCAATTGGTCTAAACTATCAAGCTGGTCAGGAAAGGGAAGCATGGGTTTGGAAGGCTCCTTCAAATGCAGAGTTCCTAGAATTTCAGTTACACCAGGACTGTCACAACTGTGCAAGCAAATGGCTTTGCTTTGCCTTTGCTATTGGGAAAGGCAATCAGTCTCTCAAAACTGAGTTCACCAGCCCTTCCTCCCTCTCTCTCTCTCTCTCTCTCTCTCTCTCTCTCTCCCACACACTGTCCCTTTCCTATATATTTTACAAAGAAAAAGTAAATATTTTGTACTGTTCAGTCGTATATATCTGCTCTTCACATCTGGCCCTGAGGCATTAAGGATGCCTCCCACACCTATTTATTTTCTTTCTTCCACTTGCTAACTTGCTTTGCAGCTGTGCTTATCTGGCTCAGAAAGTTGCACTTCTGTCAGTCCCCATGAAAGTGGCTACGACTTTCTTGGGTGGATCAGAATAATTATAGGTGGGCAAAGGAGGCAAATACAAATTGGCTCGAGAGCACTAGGAACGTAGGAAGAAAATCCAGATGGGGGGGGGGGGGGGGAGAAGTCTGTTTGGAAGAGGTTGCAATTTAGTGGCCAAAGAATCCAAGGTGCTTTCCCATTATGTACATTATTTAATGCTCTCTGTGACACATAGCCTTGCATGTTGCCACAGAGCTTCTCAAAGTTTAGCGTCATGGTAGAAATTGCACATCTAATCTCCTATTGGACATCAACACTAGATCAGTACTGACACTTGATGGACAAAGTGCCCTGAATCCAGCTTCACACAATTATGTGCTTGTAAAAATCACTATTAGTTTCAAGGTATGTGTTGAGAGTGCCAGATATTTGTTCTTAACAGTGACCTAGAATCCTGGAAGAGAAAATCGGGGATATGTTCCTCACAAGAATTATCACAAGCAATTTTGATGAGGTGTTTGATTTCAGTTGCTGGTGATTCCGTGGTGCAGTCTTACACTGAAAGGAGCTTTGCACCCTGTGAGTGGGGGGTGGGGGAGGAGGAAGGATGTAAATTTTCTCCAGCCAGCTGAGATGATCAGCCATCACCTGTGTGGAAGACTGCATGATTTCACTGTCAGGAACATGCAAAATTGCAGGAATGATTCACAGTTTGTCTTCAATAGTTTATTCTTCCAGAAAACAATGTTTGTTATCAAATCACAGGATTCTTAACTCAGCTGAACGATGTGTGCTTTCTTTCTTGGACATTTGTATTCAGTTTAATCTGTTTCCCAAACATGTCTGTGATATAGGCAAGAAGGCACATCTTCCTTTAGCCATGTAGAAAATCATCTCATTCACTGTTTGCAGTCTATTGTATAGGCATGCAATAGAGCCAATGAACTTCAGTGTGGAACAACAAGATGTCATGATTGGGCCACATTTCTTTACACAGCTTTGCAAATAGATGCATGTGACAGTGTTATTCACAATAAATGAGACCTGCTACAACACTTCACCTAGCTCTGGATTTAGAGCTTTAGATGCCAGTTGTTCTATGAATCATGCAGTGAATCCCCACAGCAGATGAAGCAACTTCCTTTACCAAGGCAAACAGACCTACTTTGTGGCCTGTCATAGACAGAACTCCCATCAGTGCAAAAAATCCTCCAGTGTGATCAAAGAATATGAAATATACCATTTGTGCTGTCTCTCATCTAGGAAGAAGGAGACAGAACAGAATGTCTCAGAATTGCACCACTCCGATGTGTATTTTACAAAAACCAAGAAATGTGTCACTATCCTAGAATCATAGAACACTAGAATTGGAAGGGAACTCAAGAGGTCATTGACTCCAGTCCCCTCCCCTCACCGTAAGACCCAGTACAGTCTAGACCACAAGCTACTGCCAGACTCGTAGTCAGCCGGATCCTCGTTGTTCACATCAAGGTGAAGAGTAAAAGCAGCTAAGTTTTTCAAGTGCTTCACCAGTGTGTTTTCCTTATCTGCTGCTGTCACTTGAATCCTTCAATTCACTGTGGTGTTGGGGAGTGGTATGGCTTTAAGCTTGTTTGTTTCAGTCTCCTCACGCATTATATTCACTATATTAATAGTAGCTGGCAAAATCAAAGATTTCCCAATTGCATGAGGCTGTGGTCTGTGCAATGCAGTGAATCGCCTCAAATGATACCTCAGAGACAGGCATGCCTCAGTTGAATTTAATTTTTGAGGCAAAAATTCTATCTCTGGAAAAATGCCCTTGTTTTCTTTGTGTTCCTTGTGAATGGTGTCCAAGTGTCATTTACATTTCATGCTTTTGCTAGATAGCACCATGTGAAACAGGAGGCATTTGGGCCTTTCTCTGTGCTTGAAAAAAAACCACTTGGTGAATGCATAACGGGGATAAAAGCCTCATGATATTTTCACGTGTTTCTTGATTTCTTGCTTTTCATTCATAACTGCACCACTAGACTCACTGAAAGAGGTTGAAGCAGATACTCTGTAAAAATGCATCCACTGTGCCTTTTCTCACCGATCAGGAGGAGGAATTCGTTGTTAAGCTAATGAGGCCAGGACTTAAGAAGACCCTGTGTGGTGATGCATGGAGACAGGGATTTACAATTCTTAATCCTTGATTGCCAACAGGGTACTCAGAGTGGCATAAGAGAAGATATGGGCCTGTCCAAAAGGAGCTTACAAGCCACTGAAGATTCCCATCTCAGAAAAGGCTTAGCACAGGTACCCATCAGGTCAAACAGAGAGGATGTGCTGTTGTTGAGGCTGTTGCTTGCAGATACAGATCTTTTGCATTTAAGTCCTTCAGCTGGATGTTTGCACAGCTGGATGGTGCCGATAGCCAAATTGGTGCCCACACAGCCAGTGTGTCAAGACCTGCTGCAATTCATCTGTCCACAGGCTGCCATTTTGTAAATCAAAATGACAGCTTCCTGGTGCAACGCTTGTGAAGCAAGTTTAGATAGTCAGGAGCAGATGGCATTATATCTTGGGCCGTATCTGGCCCATTGGTTGTGCAATACCATCTGCAATCGCAACTCTGTTTGGTAAACCTATGCTGTAGAGCTCTATTTTTCCATATGTGCACCCTTAAACTGCGAAGTCACAGGAGTTGCACAGATGTAAGTGAGGGTAGAATCCAGCCCTGCATACCAATTCTTCTTTATCCTGACCTCATTCTTCACCAAGGACCAAGGTCTCATAATGTTGCCATCATCTATTCTACAGCCCTGCCAATTCGTACAGGAAGTACAAAGGGGAAAGAATTGAGCTATGTGGAGCTGAAATCTATAGGAGGATGAGACAAAGCTGGATACACTTGCAAAGGGGTGCCTGGTAGATAACTGAGAGGAAGGATGGTTCAGTGTTTAAGGCTATGGCTTATGACTTCAGGTTCAAGTGCATGCTCTATCACAGACTTACTGTATAACCTTAAGGAAGCCACTTAGTCTCTACCTCCATTCCTCTTCCGTATGGTAAACTGTCTCCCCTTTAACAGCTACTGTAAAGAGAGAATAGCCTGTCTGTGAACTGTGAATCTGGAAAAGGCTGAAATGAAGGACTCCTGGTAGTCATTTATGCTGCTTGGAGATGGTTCTTACCAGCCCATATAGAACAGTATAATACAAAAGTTTCAGAGGGGTAGCCGAGTTAGTCTGTATAATGCAAACAATTCACAAGTTTGGATGTTATTTTTTGTAATTGCAGGAGTAGTCACACTCTGGAGAGTCCCCTTGTTCGTAATTTTAATGCACAGACTAATATATTATTGTAAGAAACTGAATACATCCCTCTCCTAATTGCTGACTGTTTTGATTTTAAAGGGCTCTGAAAAAGACTATCAGCTGTGGGTGAATTCAGGAAAAGAAGATGCTCCTTACCCACTTATTGGTGAGGTTTTGGAATGAATTTATTTTGAATCACTATCATTTTAAAAGTAAATAAGAAATACAGAAAACAGAAGTGTGATTTCTTATTTCAGTACTTCCCTAGCATGTGAGTTTGCCTGTCTTAAGGGAAATGAAGCTTCGGGGGGTAGCCAAGTTAGTCTGTACAGGATAAACTTAAAAAACAACAAATGGTCTGGTAGCACTTTATAGACTAACAAAACATGTTCACTCTGGTCATCTGAAGAAGTGGGCTGTGCCCGCGAAAGCTCATGATGCCATCTACATCAGTGTTTCTTAAACTGTACCGGTGTGCCGCGAGGCAGTAGGAGGTGTGACACAGAGAACAACAAAATTCAAAATGGCCATCCTTAAAGGGGCAGGCAACTTTTTTCCATCTTTATCCCGCGCCCCCACTTTTTTTTTCTTCTCAACACAAAATGCTTGGTGTTCCTTGTTTAAAAAAAAAAAATTGATGTTCCTTGGTCTCAAAAAGTTTAAGAAACGCTGATCTATATGTTTTGTTAGTCTGTAAAGTGCTACCAGACCATTTGTTGTTTTTCAAGGGAAATGGTACTTTCCAACTGTTGAGTTCTTTGATCATTTTGCGCAAGAGAGCTCTGATATATTGTTCCCGCTTAGCAGTTGAAAAGTACCGTTTCTTTCATGGTGAGATTTTTATTTTGCACTTGGTAAACCTTGATTTAGCCCCTCTAATCATACACCTTCTCTCTCTTATGAAACCACTCTGGTTTGTCATGTTTTCTTCTATATTGCCATAGCATATGTACAGTGTTCCCTGTCTCAGCAGATTCCCAGGGTGTGGGTGTGGTAATGTACTTATGTCCTCTCTGCTGGTTGGCTTTTCTGCTTTGCAGTAGTAGAACAAAACATTTTAATTTTTTTTTTTTAAGCTTGAGGAGTTAGTCCTGGCCCATTTCTCATTTAATTCAAGAATTGACCCCCTTTCCATGTTTGAGAACCTTTCCTCCTTTGAAATAATACATTGCTTACACTGCATAGTATTCTGCAGGCAAATAGAAACAGGGAACAAGAACAATTTGCAGGTTTTTCCTCTCGTCTCACAAATCTAATTGCAGCTAAATCATAGTATTCCTTCTCACAATAGCTGTAACAACAAATGTTTTACTGGTGTCAGACAACATTCATATTTATAAAATGTCTTAATGTGTGCGCTTTATAGACAATGCAAATTGTTTCGTCTTTGAAACATACTAGAGTGTCATTCGGCATATTGTTTGTAATTTAGTTCAGATATAACTCCTAGTATGGCTTTATCATAATAGAATGTAAAATATGGGAAATATCTTTCAGTTTATTGAATCTCTTCTTCTGCAAGTGCAGAATATAATCCTTTCAGTAGAAGACATACTGGATGTTAAATTGATATACTACACTTGATATTAACCCAAAGGCTTACTTGGAGAAGTTAAGGGCCCAGTGTTTGTCTCAAATTCTGCCTGCTGATGTGCATCTAACTGCAAGTGTTTCAACTTTGTTGTGTCTATCATCCTCAAAGAAGATTTCATCGACAGATTTCAGGTTCTGCCTCGTCTACATACAGTTACACAAATTTAACTAACATCACGCCTTCAGTCCACCTTTTGTGTTTGTAGACAAGACCTGAGGTAGTTCTTCATCGGAGTTTTCATATGACTACATTGAAATGAATAGATGCTGTATATCCCTGAAGATTCCAGTTAAAATTGACAAACTAGTTGCAGTTAACTGTATATTTAACATTTCCTTCCTATTTCAAATCATACAGGAACTGCAATTGTGTCAATGATAGGTTTCCCAGTTACCAAGGCCAGAGAGGGGAGATCACTTTTATGTTGAATTTAATGCTTTTTTGTGTGTTCAGCAAATAATGGCTACCAAAGCAAATAATAGCTACCAGAACTTTCATTTCTTGCCAGCTCCATGTGGAAAACCAATACCTAGATTTTCATCCAGTGGAAACACTGGATTCCAAAATTGCGATTCTCTGCTCGGCATTTGCATAATTTGACTAACAAAATTAGCCTAAATTGTCTTATACACACTGTAACTGATTACAGTGGAGTCAAAGATGACTTTACGCCAGCAGAAATGAGAGGAGAATCAGAGTAGCTTTATCCCAAGGTTACCAAGAGATAAAGTTGCAAGCCAGTATTTAAAAATCTGTTTTTTCTCTTTTAATAGTCTGAATTTTGCCAGTTCCCAGCCAATCCAAAATAGATTATTTAGATTTCTGTTTGAATAGGACATGAATATCCATTTGGAATTAAAATGAGCCATATTCGTGATGCTGTGCCCCAGACACAGGGATCAAAAGATTGTGCTTATCCTCTGGACCTTCATGAGTCCTTAATGGAACAGCTGCCCCGAGAGCTGCAGTGCCAATTTATCCTGAAGCCAAGTCGTTCGGGTTTGTGCCAGCAACTGAATGGTAAGTCCATCCCTTTACAAAGGTGTTATTCAATGAGAGAGTCTTCATGTCCTCTATATGTTATAGAAAGCAATCATGTAATGGGGGCACAAGATGAGGGGGAAAGGGTCCGGATGTGCATTTCAAATAGAAGAGAGATTGTGCTCTCTTGAGTTCACTGTATTTTTATGCTTTTTTCTTTTTTTGAACCGGGTTACATTTTTATGAAACTGCCTATCAAATACTTGTTCCAAAACCAGCAAACTGACGGCCAAATCTCCTGCCTGTCTGTTTATTTTACCCATTTATTTACTGATCAGAAAATCATTTCTCCACAGGCCTTGCTTTTCCATAGTGAGGGAGGATGGTTTTGTGATTAAGGCATGAGAGGGGGACTCAGGAAATTTGGATTAAATTCTTGGCTGTGCCCTGCACTACCTGCATCACCTCAGACAAGTCTCTTAGGGCAAGTCTACACTAGGAAATTATTTTGAAATAACTAAATTCTCAAGAATAACTCCCAAAATAACAAAATTGAAATAGTGTGTCCCCACTACAGGGGAACCTCAAAATTTGTCTGCACTATTCACAACAACAAAAGGGGTAGACGGCTAGAGTTTGAACTGAAGAGCCAGTCTACACTAGATATATAAGAAAAGTGTACAAAATGTTTAACTTCATTCTATCGTAATTAGATCATTTGCAGATTAGCTTTCATTGACAGAATAGTTCTGCTTAAAATGTACCTTCTAAAGCCTTGTCTACACTTGTCTGTCATGTGAATGTTATTGCCCGATAGCTACATCGCAGTGTAAATCAGCATAAGATTTATTTCAGTGCCTTTAACAAAAATAAAAATTACAGAGGCAGGTGAAGAATTGGGTAACCTGTAGGACCACCATCAAGAATGGTGCCCAACACTTTGAGATCAAGCAGTGTCTCCAGGAAGAAGATCAGAGAGCCCAATGTATGGAACATTCCTGGACTTGTATTGGCACTGCTGGTGTGGGCACTGCAGGAGATAGAGACCTCACATGCAGCCGCTGGCAGAGTGTTCCTTGCCAGAATTGGCCTAATTTCTCATCTGCGTACTCATCGCTTATAGGCATCCAAGGGGAAATCTTACTCGATTCGGAGGGAGGGGAGGGGGATTTTTTTGTAGACCATCTGGAGGTGGAGCAGCATTCATCATGACATTAAGTTGAAAGAAAAGAGTTGCAGAATAATAGCTGATGTAAAATTAGATAGGGAAGGTGACTGGATTTTGAGGTGAGGAAGGAAGCTGTAAAGTTATGTATCCACTGTCCTCTTAGTGGCTCTCTGAAGTGGACTACTCACATTTTAATATTAGGCATGTACTTAAGTACATCTTTTATTCTATTGATGGTGATCATAATACTTTCCCACCCTTTGTCCTCTCTGTATCAGGTTCAACCATGTGTACTCTTGTACACACTTAATTTTGTGCACTGACACATCAGTGAGACAGACAGCTCAGTGCATAAAGTTAAGCAACTGAGTTTTTTGTAGGTTGCTTGGGACCTTAGACTGTAGACCTGTTGAGACAGGGACTCTCTTATTATGAGTTTTTTTTACTGCACTTAGCATACTGGGACCCTGATCTCAGTTGTCACCTCTTCTAAATTACATACTGCAGTAATAATAATAATATAAAATCATATATACATATAACTTTTTCACATGCCTTGCCAATTAATCTTATTTTCTGGATATCATTGCTCAGAATGTATGCCTAGACACAATTTTAACATATCTAGAAATTAAATATATGGGGGTTGATGTTTATATGTATTACACATTACATAGGAAATTAATTGCATTTTCATAAAATCATAGAACACTAGAACTGGAAGGGACCTTGAGAGGTAATCAAATCTAGTCCCCTGCCCTCACAGCAGGACCAAATGCTGTCTAGATCATCCCTGACAGGTGTCTGTCTAACCTGCTCTTAAATATCTCTAGTAATAGAGATTCCACAACCCCCCTAGGCAATTTATTCCAGTGTTTAATCACCAGGACACGCAGAAAGTTTTTCCTGATGTCCAACCTAAACCTCCCTTGCTGCAATTAAGCCCATTGCTTCTTGTCCTAACCTCAGATGCCAAGAAGAACAATTTTTCTCCCTCCTCCTTATAACACCCTTTTAGATACTTGTCTTCTCTTTTTTCTAAACTAAACAAGCCCAGTTCTTTCAGTCTTCCCTCATAGGTCGTGTTTTCTAGACCTTTAATCATTTTTGTTGCTCTTCTCTGGACCTTCTCCAGTTTCTCCTCATCTTTTTTGAAATGTGGTGACCAGAACTGGAGACAATACTCCAATTGAAGCCTAATCAGCACGGAGTAAAGCAGAAGAATGACTTCTCTATTTTTTATATAGTAAAATAATTTCCTCTCTACCCACCAGTGTTATGCAGGATCTATTACTTCATGGCATATTTTAGGAATGAGGCAGTAAGTACACAGGTGTGATTAGGTTAATAGCTGACCTGAGGCTTATCTTCAAATCAGCATGCCAAAGACTATCTGGTTGTTATGTAATAACTTGGCCGTTCTGTCTAGGTACCAGAAGAATTCACACAAAAGGAGAGGTTTGTCTGTGCTGTGTGTAAGGTGACAATCTTGTTGCTCATCATGATGCACCTCTCTTAATTGATTCTGTTTTCCCGAAATGGGATAAGATAGATTACTTGAAACTGAGTTTATACGGTCTCTACTACAGCTTCCAACTTAATGTGTAGCCAATTAGGGATACAGTTGTTTCTAAATATGGTTGTTGTCCACACACAACATGGTTTATATACAATTAGCAAGACACAGAAGCATAAGTGTTTCATTTGGGTATCATACTAGGCCACTGGCAAAGGTGAAATACTTTCACATTGCATAGATTTTACCCCCGTCAATGTGCCTTTATGTTCAAGTTGGCTACTCCTCCTTCATCACTGTGCCATAGAACAGGGGTGGGCAATAATTTTTAAAAGGGGGCCACTTTGGGTAATTCTGCTTACCTAAATTTCCCCATAGTTTTACCTCTGTTTCACTTCCTGTTCTAGATAATCAATAATAATAGTTAAAGTGTGTTGTCAAACTGATGCTGTTTCTCTCCCAAATGATCACTGCATTTCCTTGAAATGGTCCCTTTTTTGTTTGCATAATTTCTTAAAGTGCATAGGCCTCTTGGAATCGAAGGAAATAGCAAGAAGCTAGTAATTGTTCCTAATTTTTATGATAAATGCCGTTAAGTTTTAATATGTTATTCCTAATTCTCCAAAACAGAAACTCTCTTTAATTTTATTCTTTCAATGGGCTCAACATACTTATTGCAACAACAGAGCATAAGTATACACTTGCCATTGTAAGAACAGAACTTTATGTCCTCGTGTATTTTTTTAAATAAAAAGTATTTTTCATCAGCCTGTAATGTTAAAACATTCACATTTTGAGTTACTCTAACTTCCTGTCAAATATTAATTAAATGAATTGTCCTGCTCCCAGTGGGTATGTAAGTTCCTGCAATGGAACAATGTATAACAAAATTCTCCATTGACACTAAAAGCATGTGTGATGAAGTACAAGACATGTGTCTATATTGCACTGAAATCCGTAGTTACACCTAGATTCTAGCAATGTAGGTCCCTTCTGCAGGATGAAAGAATCAAGATATGGAAAAGTTCATAGCTGTAAGGATCCAGTGAACCTGAATTAGATGACTTTGGAGACAAAAGAAAGAGAGAAGTATATATAAATAAAGTTTTTCTCTCTCATATTTCTACCCTTACAATTGCCAACACAGCCCTCCAAAATATCCTTTGCAGTTGAGCCAGAATTTCTATAATATGATATAAACACCTGGGAAGCCTTAAGAATACCTTGGTTTCCTTCGCTTTGTGATATAAAGAAGAGCTTCTATCTGAAGTGCAGTTTACAGTTTTCAGTTACCACACCTCATGAAAATAATCAAAATGAATAAAGAGTTCTTATGTTTAGTAGTCTAGCCCAGTGGTGTTGTGCCATCATGATGAAGTGCCAGGTGGTGCCATCATGAAGAAGTGCCAGGTGGAAGACCTGGATTAAAGAGCAGGCCCTGGTTCTTGAGTACTGGTCAGCAAATGCTTGGAGCAAGTACACAGATAGGCTCACTCTGTGCAAAAGACTTGGAGAGGCAACTGGATTTTTCTGTTGGCTTTTAATAGACCCCTTCAGCTTACTTATTGATGTTAGTGCAGAGACTGCTCCTGCCCATTGCCAGTAAGGACTGGAATGCTTCCAGCAAGAGAAGAATTTCTTCTTTAAAAAGAGGAGGCTATGTGGGTTTTGTGCATGTTCCACAATCTAAATGCATGTAAACTCCGTGGTCTGATTTTCTTAATCCTAAATTGAAAGTTGAGTGTTCTGGCAGTAGTCAAGCAATGCAGAGCAGACCTTTGTGATTCTTTTTTGAGAGCTTGGATGACAAGGCATGTTCTCTGAATGTGCATGTACTGGGATGCACACCAATGGAATAGGCTAAGCCAGACCGACGAGTTGGTTGTGTTTGTGAAACTTTTCCGTCTGTTTTGTAGTGGTTTCTATGGTTTCAAATATTGGAATGGAGCTAAAGTACATTTCTTCTAATAAACACCTCACTTTTTCCCCAGAACTAAGCCAAAAGCCATTTAAAAGGAAAAGATCAATCATAAACTGGGCCTTTTGGCGTGGTGCAAGTCCTCAGCTGGACAATACACCTCTGTCTCCAACGTCTCCTGTTCCAGGGAAGCTTTTTGGTCTGTCGTTGCCAGCCATCTGTGAGAACGACAATCTGCCCAAACCTGTCTTGGTAAGTCACAAATTCTGGGCTGGCTATTACACAGCTGAGATTTCTTTGCTTAGTTTGTGAGAAGGTTGGGTGTTAGAGAGCCAGAGTACTGAAATTATCCTCCATAGAGAAACCGGGAGGAAACATCCTCTCCAGGTTTGAGCCAGGACTTTGGCTGTCAGCACAGATTGCAAAAAAAGGTTTGCAAAATGTGGTCAGACCAGGTTAATACAAATCAGTTTGCAATTTGTATGTAATCATGGGAAGCTTTTAAAAAATTAATCTCTCTTTACTGTATTGGCCTGGTTCTACAACCCTTACTCATGCAATTGGCCCCATAGAGTACTCCTCAGTAGATGTATGTACTACTCAACAGAAGTGTTGTGGAATCAGGCCTCTAACTCTGAGATCTTCGATAAATCGGGAAAGATCCTGCAATGTCAGTCTACCTACGTCGATTTACACCAGCAGAGGATCTGGCCCTTCTGCTTGCCCTTGACATGTGTTCCTCACATTACCTAATGATGTTTATACCAGGACTTTTCAGGAGATTCTAGGGCATTTTTTTTTTTTTTTAGCTGCATTGTCTATGAATTTTGATAATTTTAAGGCATCTGATTTAACCCTGCAGAGATAAGCTCCATTTTACCTTGGAATCTGTTGTTGAACTATTCTATCCTTCAAGCCCAGTGCAGCCACTGATACATTCTGAGAATCTCAAACTCAAATCCTTTCAAAACTTTTGTCTGGGAAAAAGTACAGTTACTAGTTGCATAGATACCATTTGGTACAATTAGTAATGTGAGTCTGAAAAACGTATGGGCTACGTCTAGACTGGCCCCTTCTCCGGAAGAGGCATGCAAAGCAGGCAAGTCAGAATAGGGAAATCCGCGGGGGATTTAAATATCCCCTGCGGGATTTAAATAAACATGGCCGCCGCTTTTTTTCCGGCTTGGGGAAAAGCCGGAAAAGAGCGTCTAGACTGGCGCGATCCTCCGGAATAAAGCCCTTTTCCGGAGGATCTCTTATTCCTACTTGCAAGGAGAAAGAGAACATCGGGGATGCTCTATGGAGAAGATAAATCTCAGGGTTTAAAGCATTATAACTAGCATTCTTAACTGAAAAGGTTGTTTTAGTTTTTATTGTACAAAAAGCATGTCAAGCCATTAACTTCATTTGTTTAACTTATTGCCTAAAATGTTGACCAGTTTTGTTGGTTAAACCTTCGTTCTCAAGCTGAGATCTTGCATTGTAGGATTTAGCTCATTTTTAACTGATGAACTCTAAATCTTCACAAAGAAAGGGAAATTCTGATGTGAGTACTACTTAGGTGAACAGTGTCTCTATAAAAGGTGCTTGCACATAGATGGACACTTAGCTCCCAACTTATGGAAGAGAAAGAAATATTAAAGAAGCAAACTTTTAAATAGTTTCTGTTTAATATATTTGCATAGCTGAGCCTCAGGGAGACCTACCCAGCAGCCCAGACTGCCAAATTAGCCAAGAACTATTTTTCAGCCATAGTTCCAATAACTTTTACAGTTACAATAATTCCATTTAATGCTAATGCCTTCTTTACCAGCCACCTTCAATGGCTATTAGCCAGGATGGGGAGGAACTGTGTCCCCCACCTTTCTTTGTCTGAAAATGGATGATGGGGAGGGATCACGTGAGGATTATCTGTTGTGTTCCCTCCCTCGGGGGGGGGGGGGGGGGTGGGTTTCGAAAGAGAGCGTCTAGACTGCACGCGGAATTTCGAAAAAGCAAGCCGCTTTTTCGAAAGAAAGCACCCAGTGAGTCTGGATGCTCTCTTTCTAAAAAGCCTGTTTGCTTTCAAGAACGCCTTCTTTCGAAAGAGCACTTTCGAAAGAAGGCGTTCTTCCTCGTGGAATTAGGTTTACCACCGTCGAAAGAAAAGCCGCATTCTTTCGATTTAATTTCGAAAGAACGTGGCTGCAGTCTAGACGCAGGTGAAGTTTTTTCGAAAAAAGGCTACTTTTTTCGAAAAAAACCCTGAGTCTGGACACAGCCCCAGTGTGGCCATTCTTATGTTCACCATTCCCCTGCAGTCAGCTCAGAGATCCTGCCATAAATCAAACAGTACTTGATTGCTTTGTAACCAGCTTATTTTCCTTATTTTAAATAATTTGGTCTTAAGACAAACGTGTGTGTCTGTCTACCTGTGTGTATAATTACTATTTTTAAAAAGTCCTTAAACAAAACAATTTGAGGAAAGTACTGATCACATAGAGTAAGGGTGCAAACTCTGATCCTTAGTTAGGATTTAGAAGTACAGATCAATATGGAATGAGAAGTACCTACTAGCTAGGATAAAATCATGTTAGGCTCTTCAAGATACAAATTGGGCTGGATACCTTTGCACATAGTTTATAGCCGTGCTGAACAGGTGAGTAGAGAAGGTTTGACCCCTCCCTCTGAAGCATCTGATAGATGGAGTATTGGTCTTTTCCTGTACAGCAGTATAAACTGGATAATATTTCCACATTGCTTTGAAGATATAATGTAGTAGCTCAGTACTGAGTAATATTATTATTATATTGGGTATGGATAGTCTCACAACTTCTTTGAAGAAATTTTGTCTCATCTCAGTGTCCCAGATCATAGCTTTAATGAGAGTTGGATGACGAAGCCCAAGGAGTAGAGAATATAACCCAATATGGTTTTGATTTGTGAATCTTTGTAGGACAAGTTTGCACATGGGGGGGGAAGGATTAAACTATATCTTAATAGTAACAGATAAAGAATCAGTACCTAAGGCAGGTTATCTGGCTTTTTTAATTTTGCACAGGACATGCTTTCTTTCCTTTACAAAGAGGGACCTTTTACCAGGGGTATTTTCAGACGCTCAGCAAATGCAAAATCCTGCCGAGAACTCAAGGAGAAGCTTAATTTCGGAGCTGAAGTGCACTTAGCTTGTGAATCCATATTTGTGACAGCCTCAGTGTTTAAGGTATGCAAAGATCCTTACTCCTCTCTTCTTGAGGGCAGGGATAGAAGGAGGGATATAACAACTAGTCAGCTTGTTTTCTGCAACAGAAGTTAATTTAAAAAATAAAACCTCTGACCTCGTTTAGAATCTGATCCACCAAGTCTTCTAGCTCTCAGTCAATTGGAGTTCTTTGCAGAATGAAGACCTTATTCTGCAAAGATGCTAGAAACTTTAAGACACTGGAGATAGTCTGTGTCCCAAAATATTCAGGTGTCTTTTTCCATGGATTGTCTTTGTATTAGCACTAATATGGACATGACAACATTGTTTCATGCAGAGACTATCCAGAATTCACAATCATCTACCAGCCTGTTTGGGAGCGTTTTCTCTGATTGTGTATTTTGTATATAAATTTCAAATATGGACTGACACGTTTCCCCTGTTATTTTATTACCCTTCAAGTGTTTGTCTACAGCTGGGTGTGTAATCTCAATTGAGATATGTCCAAGTAGTGTCTCTAGTAGGATTTTCTTAACAAAGCATGCTTTTCCTCTTGCTGCTGTTTCTACCATTTCTGATGCCTGTGAGTTGTCTCTTATCATGTTGCGATGATCTGCCTTCTGGTGATTGGAAGCTTCAAAATGTTTTGAAGGTTTTACTGCAGGTATTACTGACAGTAAATGACATTCTGTATTTGCTCGAGAGATCTTGAACAATCCATCAAATGAAGTGAGGTCCCTGCCTTGGAGTTTGCACAGAATCTGACTCCTCCTCATGCTGTGCTGCTGATGTTAATATTCTCACTGTAAAAGAGGCAATTGCTGAATAACATGTAGACATAAAGAAAAACACACCTGTTCTTTTTTAAAGAAATCAAGTATGGTCGTGGGAAAGAATGTGGAATAATATTTGTGCTAGTAGAACTCCTCAGGTTTTGTTTTTCTGCACAACTTGACACAAGTTACTTTTTCTACAACTAAAATATGTGAAATGTGTTTTCTCGGTATCAAAGCCCTTAAATGATTTTGACTCATGCTTGTACAGAGAACACCACTCAAAATAGTGCCTAAATAAAGTCAAATGGTGCACTGGCATACATTTTACCTCACTTTGCCCATTTGTCATATCATAATAGGGTTTGTTTTGTTTGTGGAAAAGTGACCTGTTCAAGGTTTAAAACAAGCATATGAAACGGCAAAATGTTGGGGTTGAATTGAGCCCACTTATTCTGGTTGTAACAAAAAGAAAAAAGCACTGTAGTTTTTTTTTCTTTTCATTGCAGATAATTAGCATATCTAGTGTTCAATCCTGCAAAGTGCTGAGCAGCATGGCCCTCACCCAGCAAAGCACTTCAGTGTGGGCTTAACTTTAAGCATATGTAAGGCTATTGGCCCTAGTGGCACTGTTCCTGTGCCTCAAGTTAAGCAACAGCTAAAGTGCTTTGTTGGATCAGGACCCTTCTTATTACCATGAGGTTCAGCTGGAAATCCATGTTCATTGCAGTAGTCTCAAATAGGAGAGAAAATGGGGGTGCATGTGTCTGATGTCAAAGAAAAGCCTATTTGTATAATATGCCTCATAGACCTGGTTCACAAGTTCATGTGTGCTAAAGCATGACCCCATTTCAGGCTTTCAGAGTCAATGACATCTGCTGAGTAAGTGCTGGCTGTACATTAAAGAAAACTTGACAGAGAATTGAATTCATGAACCATGCTCCTGGGGGACTCCTCTGTTGATTCATTTCACTTTAATGTTCTTTGAGAGTGCCCATCTCAGACACTTGTATCAAAAGAGTTTCCCCAAGATGTGGACCAAACACCACATCCAGCATGCAGCTATTGTGATTCATTATTTATAGGAACATTGGAGATCAGAGTTGAGCTTTGTGTCAGTAATTCAGGGAAGCACAAGTCTTATTTTGCAGAAAATGTGCAGGCAGAATTAGTTTACTTTAATTTTTATCATCAGATTCAATCTGGTTTTTGGCAGTACTGTGACAGTCGCAAACTGAAAGCAAAATTATGAGTACATGAGCACAGGGTAATAGGGGTCCAATTGGTCACCACTGAAGCCAATGGAATCTTTACTAATGATGTCAATGGCTCAGGATCAGGCCCAGTAGGAAAATCACTGTAAAATATATGGCTTGTCTACACTGGACATTTGTGCTGCTTTAATTATACTGATAGTGTTCAGGTGGCATAGCCAACTCATTACTGGAATTATGTTATGGAATTAAGTATAAAGGTGCTTGATACGAAAGTTAAGCAGTAAGCATAAGGCTTACACCGGTACATTTAAGTTAACCAGCCCTTGCAGGTGAGCTCTGGTAGGCCAGAGCAGCACCGGCCTCAGCAGGGCCAGTGGACGAGGCAGCATGGCCCCAGTGGCCCAGGTGACAGGCCCTGAATTAAAAGTTTTCCGTTTTAACATCCATAGTTTATACATGGGTAGCTGTTCTCATATAGGAAGGGCAGAGGTGAACGTAGGCGGATGCGCCCTGGTGCGCAGCTCTGGCAAGAGCTGGCTGAGCTGCGGCAAAAGCCAGCAGGGAGCTATTTAAAGAGTTGGCAGGGGCCTGGGTTGCAATAGGACAGTACCGGTAAGACATGTTAAGTTAGTTTCACAGCTGGGAAAGGGGAATCATTGTGTCAATATAAGTTGCCTTTAGGCTGCTAAAAACAACATCCACACCAAGACTTTCCTGATATAACTATTTTGGTTAAAATTACCACTCACTAGCCAGTGTAATTTTATCAGTAAATCTTTTCAGCACAGACCAGGTCTTACTGTGACATGTAGAAAAGCAGCTGTGCTTTTGTAGTCTTCTCTTCTCTCTTGGATTGCAACAAGAGTGTGCTTCTTGCTTAGCCAGATCTGTGACAAGCACTGTAAACAATTTTTCCTGGGATAAATGGGGATTAAAGATAATCAGATGATTAGTAAACTGTAGGCCTCTCACAGTGTCCAAATAACTGGCACCTAATTCTCTAGTGCAGTGAAAACAGGTAAAGCATAAAAAATACATCCCACTTATCAGAAAAGGTTCAGGAGAGGGTATCAAGATATTTACCCTAAACACAATTGAAATGTTTTGTTAATTTTAAGAGATTTGCTGCATGCCTCAGCAGCGCCATAGAATGAAATGCCCACCAGCTAGTGCTGTCCCTCCAATACATTCTCTCAGATCTATTTGGCTTATCTGTTCTTCTGGCCCACGCTGCTAGCTCACATATTTTTATTGTGTCTCTCTGGAATAAGGATTTTCTTCGGAACATCCCAGGAAGTATTTTTTCATCCCAGCTCTGTAATAAATGGGTCTCTGTGCTGGATCAAGGGAACCATGAAGAGAAGATAAAAGACATCCAAAGGTAGAGTTCTTTATATTCTCTGTGTGGATTCCAAAATGGGGAATCCTGCAAAATAGACTTTTTACAGGCCCCAGTTAAGGAAAGCATTTAAGTATATGCTGAAGTTACCCCCAATTTAGGAAAGTAAATACGCATATGCTCAAGTCCCTAAATGGGCCTTAAGTACATGCTAAAGTGCTTTCCTATAGAGGGAAGCTTTCCTAAATCATGTTCTCAGAACATGTGCACCCATGTTGGAGTACATGCCAGTAAGTGGATTTCAATCATTTCCTTTCACCAAACCACAGGAGAATGTTTATAAATATGCTCTTAAAGACCAGGGCTTCCACCTGCTACCACAAAATAGACAGAGTTTGTTTTAGATGGTACAGGAGCTTTGGCAAAAGGGGTGCAGCACTATTCAGCACCACTCTTCTTCCCCCCTCCCCCCTCCCGGTCAAATTTTGTGGTAGAGCTGGGATTATGTCACAATGAAATACTGGCATATGGCAATGGTGGATACCCCATTGCTGAGCATGTTAAAATTAAACTGGGCATAGCACTAGTATATTTGTCTTAGGGAAGAGCAAGTGGCATGCAGGCAGGAATGTGAACAAGGCGATCTATTAAATGGAACCCTGCCAATTTACATTAACAACTGGGTATCTGGAGCAAGTGACTGAATTTTGCAACCGAGTGAACCAGTGAGTTGACAACTAATTGAACAGAAACACCAATAAAGACCACAAGTTGTACTTGGGGTGTTGATGTGACAGTGCATTGTTAATTATTTCTTAGATAAGCTCACAGTATATCAACAACTATTGTGAACAGCACCATAGTAGAAGAGCACACTAAAATTTGAGCTCACTGGTACCTGCTGGGTCTTTGCTGACTAGCTTCTGGAACTAGTAACCATTTCCTGCTCTAACCACTAGTCCATATTCTTGCCCTCCGATTTTTGTAATGTCAGATGCTAACTCTAGATCAGTGGTTTTCAAACTTTTGAAAAAAATTGTTGATGCCTCCGACCAAGCATAATTTGACTAAAGTGAAGGCTCTGCGGTTGGGTTGAGGATGAGAGCTTTAGATCAGGGCTACTCAACTTTGGAAGTCCCAGGAGCCACAATGCGGCTCACAGAACACGCCGAGAGCCGCAACTTAAGTATACAGGCAGTCCCCGGGTTACGTACAAGATAGGGACTGTAGGTTTGTTCTTAAGTTGAATCTGTATGTAAGTCGGAACTGGCGTCCAGATTCAGCCGCTGCTGAAACTGACCAGCAGCTGACTACAGGAAGCCCGAGGCAGAGTTGCTCTGCCCCGGGCTTCCTGGAATCAGCCGCTGATCAGTTTCAGCAGCAGCTGACTTAGGGACGCCTGGGGTTCTTAAGTTGAATCTGTATGTAAGTCGGAACTGGCGTCCAGATTCAGCCGCTGCTGAAACTGACCAGCAGCTGACTACAGGAAGCCCGAGGCAGAGTTGCTCTGCCCCGGGCTTCCTGGAATCAGCCGCTGATCAGTTTCAGCAGCAGCTGACTTAGGGACGCCTGGGGTTCTTAAGTTGAATCTGTATGTAAGTCGGAACTGGCGTCCAGATTCAGCCGCTGCTGAAACTGACCAGCAGCTGACTACAGGAAGCCCGAGGCAGAGTTGCTCTGCCTCGGGCTTCCTGTAGTCAGTGCTGGTCAGTTCCAGCAGCGGCTGGCTTGGGGACGCTTGGGGCAGAGCAGCTGGGGTGCTGCTGGGTTGGTCCAGTAGCGCCCAGAGCGGCGCTGCGGGACCAACCGGCAGCGCCCCAGCTGCTCTACTACAGACGTCCGGAGAAAAGCCTGGTCTGCTGGGGAGGTGGGGGGACGTACTAGCTGCGGGCCCCTTCCCCCCACCAGCAGACCAGGGAGACGCGGAGCAAACCCCGTTCGTAACACAAGTCGGATCCGCGTAACTCGGGGACTGCCTGTAGTTGCACATACCTGCAAATATGTATGTAAATAGCTTCTTTCACACTGATGGGCATGAATACAAAGATTAAGGGAAGACTATACAACAGACAGGCTCCATTAAGTCAGTTCTGCTGATATTAGTAAAGTGCAATATTTACCCGATTTCCACCCATATGACAGCACTTTTAATGAGCAATGGCAGTCCAGGAATTTAACTACTAAAACGCATGTCAACAGAAGACTGTTATATTGACTACTTTTTTATTTTGGCTCCCACCCATGGGCTGAGTGTTGAGCCCCACGTAAACTCAAACTGCACTGCAGGCTGCACACAAACGGGCTGTGGGCCACATGTTGAGTAGCCCTGCTTTAGAGTGTAGGAGAGGGCTCTGACTTTGGGGGGACTAGGATCGGGTAGGAGGGGTTTACCTTGAGTGACTGCTGGTCAGTGATGCAGCGGAGGTGCTAAGACAAGCTTCCTGCCTCTCCAGGCACCGCAGACCATGCCGCACCTCCGAAGCAGCCAGCAGCAGGTTTCCAGCCAATGGGAGTGTAGATCTAGTGCTCAGGGCAGGGACGGTGTATGGAGCCCTGTGCTATTCTTTCTTTATAGTGCGCTGGGGCTGCTGCTGGCTGCTTTTGGGGCACAGTGCAGTCTGCGGTGCCAGGACAGACAAGTAGCCTGCCTTACCAGTGCCCACTGGTCATCTGATCCTCCTGCAGCAACGAGACCCTGTGCCTGACATTACACAAACCAGTACTGGGTCACAGCTCGTAGTTTGAAAACCATCCCCTAGTGAGTGGTGGGGGAAATGCTTTCTTAAGTTTTCATAAATGGCTTTTTTATGGCTTTTTTATTCAGGCTAATAGAGCAACTTCCCAGAGCCAATGTTGTTCTTTTACGTTACCTCTTTGGAGTACTACACAGCATAGAAAAGCAATCTGAACACAACCAGATGACTGCATTTAATCTAGCTGTGTGTATCGCACCCAGCATGCTGTGGCCTCCTGCTCCCTCAAGCCCTGAAACTGAAAGTGAATTCACAAAAAAGGTGAGTGAAGTCACAGTTTGCTAAGAAATCTCTGTGTCTGAAGGGGATAATAATGAGCACCTATATTCATCAATGCTTCTCCTCCCCAGAGACCTCTACAAACATTAAATAATTCATCCCCATTCTGCCCTGGAGACAAGGGGAGTGAGATCATAAAACATCCGGTGCACTGGTAACAATCACGTCCCCCTATAGGTGCTGCTTAATTAAGCTGGACTTAGAACAATTTTCACTGTATAATCATAGAAATGAAGGGTTGGAAGGGACCCAGAAAAATGATCATGTCCAGCCCTTTGTGCTGACAATAGAACCAAAATAAACCTTTCTGGAGGTCAGAGTCAAAGGAGGCCAGCAGTTGGTCAGTTCACTTAGGGCTTCCGGGAGCTCCAGGGAGAAAATTGTACATGGCAATTTGGAAGGAGCTGAGAGGGATCCAAGCATCATCTGTCTACCCAACTTCCTCCTTTGCAAGCAGCACTGCTGAAGGGGAAGTGGGGAAGGAATCTGCCACCATTTGGAGGCTGTTGCTAAAGGCAACAATACAGATGAGCCTAATGAGAAGGATGCAAAAGCATAAACTTTTAAATACTAGTTTGAAAATCCATCCACTGTAGGTTCATTTCCAGCCAAGGGGCAAGAGGGGTGCGGATGCAGATTCTGTTATGGTAAAATTGGAGGCACTTGCCTGAAAGTAAAAGAAATTTCATCTGCTGGGAGCCCGTTCATCCTTATGGAACTAACCTAGTCCTTGAAGTGTGTGTTGCTGAGGGACTGGCTGTTATCTTAGGGCTTGGGTGTGGTGCTCTACTAGTGGTTACTGTTCCATAAAGGCAAGGGAGTTCCTGGCCACTAGGAAGAGCAAGTGCCACCCCATTTCCCTCTAGATATGCCTGGTCCTCCCACTGTGATTGCCCACCATAATCTGCCAGTTTCCTACCCTTCCTTTGGTCTGTGCTCTAACCTGGGAGAAACTGGTGCCATTGGAAGGCCAGGTAATGGATGGGAAGAGCTGGGGTGGAAATGACTGCATGTCCGAGCCCGAGGCTGAGAGTGGGTCAGCATGGAGACCTACAGGGATGATGTGAGGAGGAGTGATCTAGTTTTTGGTGAAGGAGACTCAATCTGTGTTGATAAAAGAGCAGGAACTCAGGGGGGGGGGGGGGGCAGGGCCAGAGCCAAAGAAGATGAGGGTGTACTAGAGTGTTCATCCTCTTGTCTATTACAGTGCAGGGCCTGTTAGTGCTATAAGAGCTAATATGAGCACAGGAAGAGCACGGGTTGGTTTCACAACGAGAGGTGCCTACGTGGGGCCTTTCAGATGGTTTAAGCATTCCAGAATAATCTTTTATAGATTTGGCTGCTCCCTTATCAATCCTTCGCAGTTGTGTTGAGCCTAATGGATGAAAGTTGGAAGCAAGACAAATTCAGACTGTAAATGAGGTACAACAGTTTTAGCAGTGAGGGCAATCCACCATTGGAACAACTTACCAAGGGCTGATGGAGTCTACATCACTGGTGGTTTTAAAACTGAGATTGGCCATTTTTCTAAAAGGCATGCTTTAGCGCAGACAGGAAGTATTTGGGGGAAGTCCTATGGACAGTGTTATACAAGAGGTCAGATGAGATGATCACTGTGGTCACTCTGGCCTTAGAATCTCTGAAACATCCATAGGAGCTGCCCATCTAGATGTACTTTGGAATAAATCAATGCAGAATGTAACGTGTTGAGTAAATCCAAGGCTGGAGCACCACACACATCATCCGCAGAAAGCCTGTAACATGATATTTGGGGCAACCTGTCCATTCACAGATTTTTGTTACCAATCTATATTCCTCTGAACTTATTGCCATTGCTTCATTGCAGGTTTCTATTCTGGTCCAGTTTCTAATTGAAAATTGCTGCAGGATTTTTGGAGAGGAAATTTCCTCCCTCTTTGGGGACATACTCATACGATGTGACAGAGAGGATGGCTCAGGTAACATGTTTCATTCATATTACCTAAACCCAGCCAGTCAGAAGAATCCATACTTTCTTAGGAAGCATATTAGTGCCCATTCATATAATCTGTGTATCCACAGACATGCACTCTCCCTTTGTTATCGTGATAGTTGTGATTTTTATCCTGCACCATACACTATTTTGTTCACTCTTTTCACACCATTTCGCGTGATCTACAAAACTCACTTTGCAACTCACGAGTAATATGATTGATTGTCCCCGACTCCTCATGTAGTGTCTCTTGTGTAACAAATTTCTCTGTGACTCCACTTTAAATCCAAAGGCTTGAGTCTACTTGCTATGCCATAAGTGAAACTAGAACATGTCAGAAATATTGGATATAAACCTTCTAATGTATTGAGCACAATGAAAATTACACCCCAAATTCCTCACCTATCTGAACAATTGAACTGAATGTTCATAACATTAGTCATTTAATAGCCTGTAAGTAATTCATTGTCCATAGGCTGATTGTTAAGGAGTATCCATAAATCCATCCCAGCGCAGCACTGCATGTCAGCATGTGTTTAAATCCCTATGCTGCATTGGGGCTTAACAACATTTATTTCTTTTCCCTCTGAAAAATGATCATTTTGGAAGAATTCTGATCTTTTCATATTTGGCCAAGTGTCAGTTTTAGAGGCTTTCCAGGGACAAACAATTTATTGAAGGGAAAGAATACTTTTGAAACAAAATGTAACTGTGTCATCAGCGTTGTTTGATCATGAACATGCTAATGTTGTTTTCATTATCTTGCAGACTTCTCTTCTTTTCATCTGAATGATTCTTCATATGACAGTTTGGAAAACGAACTGAATGATGATGTTAGCGCCTCATTTAGTGACTTGATCAAAAAACGAGGTCAAGATAACAGGAGCCGGGACTCAGTTTTGACTCTGAGTGATTGTGACTTGGACCAGCCTGAGATGGAAGAAATTAAAATTCAGCTGCCACACAAATCAAAACCAGTGCAAATTATTACTGGATCACACCATGAATCTGCATTGCAGAACCACTCTGAAAATGAGTCTTTTTGCTCCAGTACCTCTGGCTGTTTATCAGTAATGGGCCCAGATGCTTTCACAAGCTTGGGAAGACAGAGACGTTGCTCAGAGCCCACAATTGGCCTTCTTGCCTCTAAGTTCAGCCACCTCAGTGGAGATCATGAGAGCGCAGTGCGTAAAGCCAGCTGTGATGCAGTGCTGTCACACGTAGAGGAAGACTGTCTCAAGCAGCTTCGTTCATTACAGGTGGAAGGGCAAAAGCTTATTAATCAGGGATTGATTATGGGGATTGATGTGAGTAAGAGTGACACCATGGGCCAAAATGGTGAAAAGAAAGACTTGTCCAATTGCCTCCTCCCACCACCACCATTGAGGTTAAATATTTGCTCAAGAACTAGCTGTTCTAGTTTATCTTCTCCTGGAACGTCCCCCTCTGGGTCCTCCATGAGTTCTATGGACAGTGCTTTCTCTCAGTTTTCGGACTATTCAGTATTTACTCCAACCGAGACCTCCTCTCCTTTGGATTGCACTTTTCAGACTCAAAAGAAACATGGAGAGCTTTCTCCTGAATTTAACCCTTTCTCTGGAGTACATCTGGGCACTGGCTTCAGTTCTTTTCCTAACCAAGCCAGCAATACCAGCTCTGTTTGTATTGGAAAAGAGAGTCAAAAAAGCCCTGTAACTCTTCATCCCAGCACATGGCTGAAGAATGGAGCCTCTACGATGAAAAATTGGACTCTCCGAAAAAAGGAAAGAATGTCCAAGCAAGAGGAGAAAAGGAAGAGTGCTGTTAAAATAACTCTGGAACCACAAATGGACTCTTCAGATGCATCCGAAGACAACTTGTGTCAAGAACAGTGGCAAATTTTAAAATCACTTATGTCAACTGGAGCAATTAATGCTGCAGAAACAGCACCGGAGGGTAATTTTTCTTGTTCTTGGGGGGCTGGGCACCTGTGCAGCTCTCCACTGTGTCCAGTGGAAACCAAGGACAAGAGAGTAAAAGCTTTGGGTCTGTTGGCTGAGCAAAGCAAGGAAGAGGAGGAGGAGGAGGAGGAGGAGGAGGAGGCAAATTCTCCATTTCTTCAGTCACATAAAACAGAACCATCTAACTCTTTCACTCAGTGCACAAATCCAGGTGCTGAGCTTGTTTCTGAGCCAGACAATTTTGTCAGTGCTGGACATGAGCTGTCCTTGAAAAGTTCAAGTAAGACTGTGATTTCCACAGACTTAGAAGGCCAGCAAGTAACAAACTCCAAAAAAAATAAATATTTGTCAAACACTGAATCAGAAAATATTGATGAGTCCAAAAGAGACTTCTCTGAGTCTCCAGAAACCACAAAGGTAATTGATGACTGTTGGTTTAAACCTGATGTTAATAAATGCTTTCAGAAACCAGAGGAAGGGACCAGGGCCATGGCCCAGAATAGAAAGGAACGGCCAAACAAGCAGTGCAGTGATCCCAAGTTTGAAGAGCTTGACCAAAGATTTTTTGCCGAGGAATCTTATGTTTAAAGTCACCAATTTTGGGACTAATGTCAGATCAGATTTAATAGCCCAGGAGACGAACTTTTACTGGGGGAGGGGCTACAGTACTCATTCTGTCATTAGGAGAATAGCAAAGTAACTTCCCCATATACTGAGACTGTGACTGACTGACTAAATTCCTAAGATCTGGGAAGGTTGCAGGAAATAGTTAAGAGAAGCACTCGGTTCCAAGAGTGCAGTAGTGTATTTGACCAAGTCCTCCTCATGACCACTCATGTTAAATCTTGTAGATGTAAGTCCGTATCCTCTGTGGTTTTGATGTAGCATACATGGTCAACATAGATTCCATAACTGTGGTATTCTACTGCTGTTTTGAAACTATGATGGTTATTACTTTCATTGTCCTTCAAGAAAGAAGTGTGGTGCTTTGTATGTTAACAAGGTAATTGTCCAGTAGTTCCAGTCCTCTCAGTCTTGCTGCAAAAGATGAACATGTAAGATTGAAGAATGTTGATGCTTATAACTAACAGCTCCCAATTATGTGTGTTTCGTTTATTGTGCTCTATTGGGGGTTCTTTTATGTTTAAGTTGTGTATAGTTTATTAATATTGCTGTAAAATGGCATATATTATTGCAAGAACACATGTAATTTTATTATGCATCCTCTAAATCATCTTATAATATATTAAAAGTAATGCATTATCTAAAATGCTTTGTTTGTATAATATATCTTGATAAATTTTGCTATTATATATGGTCTGAAATAAATGTGTATTTTTGTACTTGCAGAAACTGCTGCTAACTTTACAAATTCCGTTTTTGTTGTTATGGCACTGGTCTTGGTGTATACATTCAATGCTGTACATTAAATAAAATCCATTCTGTCATAAAGTCAACTGAAACAGTTTTTCCAAATAACCTTTCCTAAAGTCATACTTCTTTACCAATGTTAATGATGATGTTTCCTAAAAACCTATTTTGTTTTCCCTTTCTTTCCCCCTCCAGATTTTGACATTTGCCTCTGTAGTAAATGTTTTGGTTTTATCTCCTTGAAAAATATGGTACATTTCAGTTTTGGCAAAAAGAACTAGCTACAATGTGAATACAATTGGATAGAACTTTGAGGTCAGTTCTATGGGTTTTTTCCTAATGGTATTAATAGGAATTTTGCATAGGAAAGGATTTAGGGCAGGTCTACACTACAGGGACAGGTCAATCTAATCTGCATAATATGAGTTATGTTGGTAGCAAAACTCATATCAACGTAGCTTAGATCTGCCCACCACTGGGTCCACACCATGCTGTATCTGCAGTAAAAAAAAAAAAAAACCTCTCCTGTTGACTCTTCTTACCTTTCTCATTCTGACGGAGTAGCGGAGTCAAAGGGAGAGCCATTAATGGTCAATTTATCACATTTATGCTAAGTGTGATAAATCATTGCCCCGTCAATCTGGCCTGTAGTGAAGTCATACCGTTGTGTACAGCTTACTTTCTGTACAGCACTATGCATGCAAAGTGCATCTCAGACATATTGCTAACTCTATCCACATACTTATATAAGCAACTCCATCACAAGGCCTAGCCACATCATCAGGGGCACATACAACTGCACATCCTGTAATGTGATATATGCCATCAAGTGCCAGCAATGCTACTCTGCCATATATCTTGGCCAAACCAGACAGTCTCTGCAACAAAGGATAAATGCACACAAATCAGACATCAGTAATGGTAGCACATAAACCTGTAGAGGAGCATTTTAACCTCCTTGGACAGTCAATAATGGATTTAAAAGTACCCATTCTTCTACAAAAGAATTTTATCACCCAATTGCAATGGGAGAAAGCCAAACTGGAATTTGTTTACAAGCTATCAACTTAAACTTGGATAAAGATATTAACTAGTTAATGCACTACAAAGGCAATTTCCCCCACCTTTTGTTAGTCGCATTTACACATCAGAAACTATGAATGGGACACATCCAGCCTGAGTTGAATAGCTTCATTAACAATGGTCCTACAGTTGATAAGTAACTGCTTTTGCTGTTCTATATGCCCTGGATTCTGTATTATCCTCACCACTGGATAATGCAGTTAAAGAAATAATTTCTCTTTCTCTTCTGCTATTCCTTAAGTCCTATCAAGGGTGAATCAGGAGTTTGCAGCTGAGCTCTAAAATGAGATGAAGAGTCAAGGAGAAGCAAAAAGGTATTTTCAGATAATATTTGCAGTGTTGTAATCACACTGGTCCCAGGATATTTCAGATAATAGAAGTTTGGCTGGGTAATGGATGTTCTATGAATAGTGGCAAGGTTCCACAGAAGGAGTAAGGGGAGGGAGGCAAGTGCTATCAGAATAACATTGATTCAATTGGTAACCTTTCCTTTTTTAAAAGGGCTTTTACCCCATCAGATAATATAGATCAGTATAATCATTTCAACTATGGGTTGTATTCAGTCACACAAATAAGTTTCCGAAAGCACCAATGAGACTGAGGCACCTAAGTCTCTGAGGTGTTTTTTGAAACTGTTACCTGTTGTCCAGTACCACAGTCAGCTGCAAAGAGCAGTCCATGGAAGCTCTGTGCCATTTCACCAGGCAGAACAGGCAGGCAGTCTGCATCTGTCAGCTGGAATGACTCAATATGTCTAGGAATGTCTCTTATATTGGAAATATTCACTCCAAGGCAGAATATTTTGAGACTTGACCATGCATATAGCTTATATCTGTCATTGTAGCTACATCTACAGAGACCCACTGAAGTAGCCAAGATTCTTCTTGCAGGTATAACTGTTGGGTCAGGCTCTAAAGCACCATCTGGTCTCTCTCCCCTCTTCTTGTGTATATATAGCTACAGTTATATTAATTAGAAGTCTAATGCACAAAATCTGACCTTTAACGACCTTCTCCTTCACAATGTAAATTCATCTATGTATGTTCCGGGTCTGTATTTAACAGCACTGCAACCCAGCTCCCTTCAAAAAACAAAACAAAAAAAGCCCACTGAATGTCTTGATGCTATTTTTAAATGACAGAAGGAGACCTCTTCAGTCCTTGTCAAACTGGTTGAAATCATATTGCCAGGCACTTTTAATCAAGGAGCAAATGTTAGTTAATTGCACCAATAATAATTGTTAATAAAAACAGTCTCTGCAACATAAGCATTTTGTATTGCCAGTTCTATCTTACAGCAGTAGGAAGTGTATGAATATTAGTTCATCGCAACTTGTGTCCAGTGCATCTTAAAAAGCTGAAGGGCCAATGAGCAGACAGCAAGAAACCTGGGATTTTGTTGGTGGAGCCCAGATTTATGGAAAAGGCAGACCTGAAGTTCTTGCAGACGGCTCCTTCTTTGATAACTTCTGTCTCCTTGA